GTGTTTTGTTGTTGTTGTTGTTGTTGTTTGTAGTGTTGCACTTCATTTAGTTTAACATCTCTAACTTGCGCTTCTATGTGTGTGTGTGTCCGTGCGTGCAGGCGGGGTGGGGGCGCGAGTTGATATTTCTTTCCTCCACGAGGGGAGGTGTGCGTGTGCCGCCCTGCCACAGCCGTCGTTTCCGCACACATCCACGCAGGTCCAAAGTCACAGCCACACACGCAGACGGTCGCACTCGCACGCCTCTGGCTGCTGCGCCGGTCCCGCGCTGTCCCCCACCCCTCCACAGTGTGACTCACTCTCTCTCTCTTTCTCCCTCTTGCTTTCGCCCTTTCACCTTTCCGCCTTGCTTCTCTCTTCACAGGTGGCAGACTGCGGAGCTTGGCGCCTCGCGCGGCCTGCGCCTTCGTTGGGTTGTATGCCGCACGGCGGGTGGCACGCAAATGCTGGACGAGGACGACACCGCGACGCGGCCCGCTCTCTGGGGGACCTCCCCGACGCCGATGGTGGAGGCTTTCCACGCGGCCGTTTGGTACATCCTGCGTTACTGCGGGGCCGCGATCGACGCCGCGGAGTTGCTCGCGTGGCGCACGCTTCTGCAGCTCCCCCTGCGCGCGGCGGCGGGCGGGCAGAGTTCCGTGAGGGCGGGCGAGGAGCTGGAGCTGTTCCTGCGGCTCGCCCTGCGGGTCCCCGTCTGGGTGCGGGTGCGGCAGCTGGAAGGGCAGTACGCCGAGTACCTGCACCTTCGCCCGGCGCTGCATCGGCTGAGCACCCTCTGCGTCGGGAACCACAGCGATGGGCGGGAGGCACGCCGCGAGGGGGAGGATGCGTTTGTGCGTCTGCTGGGCGGGGCGGAGGTGGCGAAACTCGCCGTGGCGACGAAGGGCGAGGGCGCGGCGGCGTTGCTGCGGGTGGCGCGGGTCTGTGAGCTGCGGCAGCTGGCCCAGCTCCCCCTGCGCGCGGAGGCAGGTGGCCGCGGACGACTCGGCGCGGGCGGGCCGGTCGCAAACGCCCATCACGACAAGGACGGTGACGGTGACGCTGCTGCTGCGGGTGCCGCATGCGGGCGCTCGGCCGGTGCGCAGCCCCCCTCCACGGGCCTCCCCTCGCGCAAGGAGGACCTCATCCACCGCATCCTCGCCATGGACTGCGCCGCCGCCGCCTTTGCCGCCGCCTGGGATGCCGTCGTCGGGCCCGTCTGCCGGGTCCACGAGCGCCTCAAGGAGAGCGTCCACCGAGTTGCTGAGCTGCTCCACCTTCTCGCGTGCCCGTGCGGCACTGGTGGCGTGTTATCGGGGCTTGGGCGTTCCCGTCCGCCCCGGCCACTCTCCGCGGCACTGCCGCTGCTCGCGCCGAGCCTCCTCCTGCGGCAAGCGCCGCGTGGAGTGTGCGTGCCGACGCCGCCGTGGTGGCGCGCCGACGGCGCTGTCGGCGAGGTTCCCGCCCCACCAGCTGCGGCGCCGCTCCGCCTCTTCACCTCCCCTGCGTCGCTCGCGAGTTACTTGGGTGCGCTGCGTTTGCACCAGACGCTGCTTGAGGCCGCCGCGGGCAAGCCGCGGAGGGGCGGGGGACTTGGCCTCACAATGGCGTCACACACGGCCGTGGAAGAGGCGCTCGCCCGGCTACAGCAGCCACGGCAGTCGCTGGGGCGGAAGCGCGGGCATCCGGAGTCCACGGCAGCTGGAGGTTCGAATGAGCCGGTGGCGTCTGACGAGCGGGGCGCCGCCAGCGTGGAACGCCTGCTTCAGCAAGGCGGGTTGCTCTACGAGCACCTTCTCCCGTTCCTCCCCAAGTACGCCTGGTTTGCGTGCGCGGAGCTGCTGGTGCCGCTGCTGCTGTCCGGCAAGGAGTACGCCCTGGCCAATCAGTGGCTGCAGAAACTTATAGAGGAGCCCGTGCACGTCGTGGCGTCGGTGTGCGGCTCCGTCACGTTTCCCTTCTACTATCGCCCCCAGAAGCGTGGGAAGTGGTGTCACCGGCTGGCGCAGAACCTCGCTTTGCTGGGGGAGCGGGGGGCGGCGCTGGCGTTGCTGGAGAAGCAGCAGCAGAACTGGCGGCAGCAGCCCTCCACGGCGCCCCAGTGCGCTGAGGTGGAGGCTGCCAAGCGACTTCCAGCCTTGCTGCAGCGCCGCGTTCGCCTTCTCGCCGCGGTGTTTCCGTCGCTGGGCGGCGGCGACAACAACAACAACAACAGCAACAAGGTGGCAGTGTACAACGCCGTCAACGAATACCAGCGACGCCGCTTCTGTCGTCGGTGTGATCGTATTGCCATTGAACGGACGCTCGCGGCGCTGCATCGCTCGCTGCGCCGCTGGACGCCGTTTCCCGCCTCCCACGTGTCTTTTACCAGCCATCTCCTGGCGGCGAAGGAGCTGACGATACACGCCGCCCGCGACGCGATGGACCCAACGCTCTGGAGCGACCCGTCGCACTCGATGACGGCCTGCCGCGTCGAGAGGCACGTCCTTCGCTGGTTTGGCGCCGGGCAGAGCGGCTGCGCGAGCGGCTGGGCCGGGCTGCACTGCGAGGGGCGCTGGCTGGCGTGCCTGGCGCGGCTTCTGCTGTGGGATGCGTACGTGTTTGACCCGACGCGGGAGACGACGGCGGCGGGCGCGTCGGCGCACATTTGGCTCTCTCCGCTGCAGGACGACCCCCTCGACCTCGTCGCCGCTGCGGCTTTCTGCCACCGACGCCGCCGCCTCATCGAGACGCGACTGGAGTTCTTCGAGGCCTGCCCGCGCGAGACCCTCATCGACTACGTGCGGCAGCGCAGCCTGTCGCGGGAGGCCCCGAGGCGCGACGCCGGCGGCAGCCCCGCGCGCGAGGAGCAGCAGAGGCAGCGCGAAACCGAGAGCGAGGCGAGCCTGTGGGGCAGCGAGGAGGCGGAGGACGATGGCGTGGTGCTGCCCGGCCAGCCGACGCCGCGCCGGGGCGAGCGGCCAGAGGAGACGCAGCCCGCGTTCTTCGCCCGCGACGCCGGCGCCGCCGCACACGTGCTGGACGTCGGGGATTTGCCGCTGCTGAGTCTCCTGCGGGCGATCCCGCAGGGCCCGCTCTGCGCGCTGCTGCGCCGCATGTTTCTCTCCCCGCCGGAGGAGGGCCACACCGTCTGCTTCGCCGGCTTCCCCGACCTCGTCCTCTGGCGCGAGGCTCCCCTCTCCCTCCTCGGGCCGGACTTTAAGCTCGTCGAGGTGAAGAGCCCGCACGACGCCTTGAGTGACAAGCAGCGGGCCGCCATTGACGCACTCTGCCGCTGCGGCTTCGACGTCTCCGTGGCCCGCGTCGTGGAGGGCGAGTCCCCGTGCAGGGGCCCCCACTCCAGCACAGACCGCGCGCAGGAGGCCGCGTTGCCGAGTGCGTTGCAGGTGCTTTAGCGCGGCGGAGGCTCGCGCGCAGGGGGCCTGCCTCGACTGAGTGGGGAGGGGGGATGGGGGGGGGGGGAACTCCTCCTTCACTTCTTCCCCCCTCGTGCTGCTGCTGCTGCGGTGTGTCACTGTGCGGGAGGAAAAAAAAAGGGAGAGGGGGAGGGCGCCGTGTTGCCATCGGCGCTCAGGAACGGCCCGATTTGACTGTCGATGAAGTTGCCCATAAATATACGAGTCCCTCTCCATCTCTCTCTCGCTCGCTCTCTTTCTTTGCCCCTTCACGGTGAGATGGACTCCCTGCTTTTCTGCTTTTCCTTCTTGTTTTTCTCTGCCTGCTGGTACGCTGCGAGGGTCCACGAGAAAGCGCTCCGGGCGCAACACAGTGCCTGTCCTTTTTTAACTTTCTTTTCTGGAGGGGCTTTCGCCTGTCACTGCGGGTAATAGGGTTTTTTTTCTCTCTTTGCGTTGCTTGGCAGCCCCGCGACGGTCGACGGCCCGGCGTGGCGCCAGCGCGAGCCATGAGCGCCCCGACACGTGGGAGGACGTTTGCCGACGTGGTCCGCTGCATCAATAACTGGCCGCGCAGGAGTGTGGCCCACGGCTCCAACAGTCTTGAGCTGACGAGGATCTTAGTCGAGCGACTCCGCATGCAGGGTCACCTCAAAAAGCTGCGCTTTGTCCACGTGGCGGGTACAAAGGGGAAGGGCACCACCGCCGCCTACACCGCCGCGCTGCTGCAGGCGTACGGCTTCAGGGTGGGCCTCTTCACCTCCCCGCACCTCGTGGACGTCCGGGAGCGCATGCTGGTGAACAACGCCCTGGTGCCGAAGGAGGTCTTCGCGGGGTACTTCTTTGGCATGATGGACCGCATCGCCGACCTCGCCAACGCGGAGAGCCAAATCTCGCGGGACGTCGCGAGGCTCCCAAACTACTTCCGCTCCCTCTTTATGCTCGCGCTGGACATCTTCGTCGCGGAGTCGGTGGAGGTGGCGGTGGTGGAGGTGGGCATCGGCGGCCGCCTTGACTCCACGAATGTCATTTCACCGGAGGTGTCCGTCATCACCGCCCTGGGCCTCGACCACACGTCCATTTTGGGCAACACGGTGGAGGAGATCGCGGCGGAGAAGGCCGGCATCATCAAGCCCGGGGTCATCTGCTACACCGCCCCGCAGGAGTGGCACCCGTCGACGCTGAAGGTGTTGGAGGCGGCCGCGCGTGCGCAGCAGGCCCCGCTGGTGGTGGTGAACGCGACGACTCTGCCGATCTTCAGCTGGCCGCCGCTGGCGATTGGCGGGGCCCACGCCCTGGAGGACGCCAAGCTGGCGCTGCTGGCGGCACGCTACGTGGCGGGGAAGCCTGCCGACCATGCCGCTGAATGCCGTGGAGCGGCACGTGCTGCAGACGATGACGTTCCCGGGCCGCTCGCAGGTGCTGCCGATCGGCGGCGGCGCGGGGGTGACGCTCTACCTCGACGGCGCCCACACCTTTGAGAGCCTCACGTGCGCCACCCGCTGGTTTCTGGACGAGAGCCGCGCCGTCACGGGGGACTCGAATCCGCGTCGCGTGCTGCTTTTTTACGCCTCGCGGGACCCGGCGAGCGTCCTCAAGGCGTTTATGCCGTTTCTGCACTGCTTTTCAAAGGTGATTATGGCCTTTGTGGTGAACCCGCGCACCGCATGCGCGCCGACGACGGAGGAGCGGCACGCCCACGCGCGAGGCGAGGTCACTGCCTTGGCGAAGTATTGGAAGGAGATGTACCGCGAGATACCCTGCCTTCCCTGCAGCGCCCCCTTCTCCTCGCTTGAGGAGCTGATTGATATGGCCGTGCAGGCCGCAAGCGATAGCGAGGACGCTGTGAAGCCGGCGCAGGTGTTTGTTACTGGCTCCTTTTTTTTGCTATCTGACATTTTGACTTTGGCCAAGGAGCACGAAGCTAAGTTCCAGGCGCACGCGCAGGAGGCGTAACGGCTGCCGGCACTCGCATGCGTGTATGAAATAGACCTGCGTCATCACAAGACAAATTTGTGGGTTACTGATGCCCCGTTGGCTGTTTGCTGCCCAGCATCACACATATACACACACACATATATATATAATGTTCTTTTTGTTGTTCTTGCCCCCCTCCCCGTCTCTCCCACTCTGTGTGTGTGCGCGAGAGAGAGAGAGGAGGGAGGGAGCGGCGGCCTTCTTCTTGGCTTCTGCTGTTATTATTAATAATTAAAACTCTTTTTTTTAAAAGCGTATTTACGCCTGCTTTCGCTCTCTTTCTCTCTTTCGCTTCGCGGTTGCTCTCCTCACTACCCACCCTCCAAGTGAGATTTGTTGGGCGAATGAGCCGCTACGTTGTGCTTGACGCGGCACCAAGCTCGGCCTCCTCCTGCGAGAGGACGGCCGCCGTGCTTGGAAAGTGCCTCGCGGAGGGCGAGGCGCTCGCGAAGGTGGTGCACTGCTCCAGCTACTACGGGGCCGCGCTGTTTCGCAGCGGCCGCCTCGTGCTGCTGGCGCCGGAGTCCCCGGCACAGCACGGGACCGTCATTGCGGGCGGCGATGGACGCGTCCTGGACGTTGCCGCGGGTGCCGCCCACATTGTCTTTTGCAAGGAGGACGGCACAGTCTACTCGTTCGGCTTTAGCAACAAACACGGACAGCTGGGCGATGGGACGGTGTGGAGAAGTTTGCCGTCCGCACCGGCGACGCACGACGCCGATGGGTCGGACGCCGCCGGGCGAGAGGCGGGGCTCCCGCAACTTTCCTCCCCGCAGATGATCCACGGGTTTGGCGCCGGGGCAGGTGACGGCGAAGCAGCCTTTACGGAGGGCAGGCTGCTCACGGTCCCCATCGTTGCGGTGGCGTGCGGCGATTTTCACACGCTGCTCTTGACGAGATTGCGGAACTGCGTGTACGCCTGCGGCCTCGGCGCGTCGGGGCAACTGGGAGGGAGGCGGCGGCCGGCGCTGCAGCCGTCGTTCCGGTCGATTCGGCTTCTGTTTGGACTACCGCTGCAGCAGATTGCCGCCGCGGGGAACCACTCCTTTGCGCTGCTGCAGACGGGAAAGTTGTTCGCCTTTGGGGAAAACCTCTGCGGCCAGCTTGGGCTCGGCGCCGTGAGGGCCGTGCACACGCCCCGGGCGGTGAACTTCAGCGGCGCCGCGCCTTGCAGCGAGCCGCGGCGACCGCTAGACACCGCCGCCCTCAAGAGCCTGCGGGCGGCCTGGGGCTCGGCGGCGAGCATGCACCTCCCACTGCGCGTCGAGCGCCTGAGCCCGGAGCGGGACCCCGGTGCGCCGTTTGTTCTCGCCGTCTGGTGCTGCCCCACGAGGACCGTGCTGCTCACGGCAACGCTGGAGTGGCTGTCCTGCGGCCTCGCCCTCTCGCGCAGTCCGTGCGACGGCAAGACCTGCAAGTTTAGAATGGATCGCTACGGCCCCCTCGGGCGCTGGATAGCGCGCCGCGAGGAAGCCACCGTCTTCCGCAAGATGCGGTGGTCGGAGCGGGTGGCGGCGGCGCTGAAGGCCGCGCTCCCGCCGCACACGCTTGAGACCGCCTCGGCGGCGGCGGTGGCGGCGGCGCTTGGCGCGATGGATGTGAAGTGCTCGACGAAAGCCGTAGCGCTGCTGCTGCGGCGCCCCGCGCAGTCGCAGGGGGCCCTTTTGTTTCTGCAGGGCGAGACGCCGGACGCGCTGCTGATGGACGCGGCGGGCGGAACCCCGCTGCTCCCGGCTCCCCGCGCGGAAAAACTTCTCCAGGACCACGACGCGGACGACGACGCCTCTGAGTTCGCCCTGGCGGAGGCACAAGGCATCGTCGCCGCGGAGGCGTTCATGGCCGTCGTGTAGCGCCCCGAGGTGCGGACAGGAAGCACGGCCGCAGCACCAGCGGAAGAGGGAGGGCCGCAGAGTGGAGGCGAGAGGAGTTGTGAGTGGATAATTTTCCCTCCTTTTCTGCATGTACAGGACACTTTCTCTTGACCGCCCCCCGATGCGGGCGGGATGTGTGGGAAAGCGAAACAGGCGAGAGTGAGTGTTGGCAACTTCGTGTTGTCGGCACGGTCTTCCTTTATTTGTTTTGTCTTTTTTTTCTTTTTTTTCTTTTTTTTGCGGGGAATTGCACAGGGAACGGCCTCGCCCAAAGAGTGCCTGGCACAAATGGCCATCACAAGGCACTTTCTTCTTAATTTTGGGTGCTGTTTGTCGCAAGGCGTGCTGAGTTGAAAGAGGGGACAGCTGCGTTTGCGCAGCGCGGCGCGCGACTGATCCCGGAGGAGGGGGGGGGGCGGTTCGGTCGCAGACGCGTTTCCGCTTCGCGGCCGGGCGGGGGCGAGTGCGGGCGTGGCGCCTCTGCCCTGCCCTGCCCTGCCCTCTCAGGGGCACTGCCCTCGCAGAACTCGGGGCCGTCGTTGTGCGTGCCGCGCGGGCAGCGCCGAAGAAG